ATATATATATATATATATGTAGAAGGGTTTAGATGAGAATACCTTCATTTTATACGAAGATGCAAGAGTGCCCTTTTTGTTAGTCAATCACATGTGATATTGTAGTCTATCACATGTGATACTAAATTAGAGGTGTGAGCCAAGTCGCCCGCACACTACTAGGTTCCCTCACGAGTATTATCACATATGATAAGGGTGTTTTAGTGTTTTCGTAAAAGGAAAGTATTCTCATTTGAACCTCCACCGGCGTGTGTGTGTGCATGTAGGCATAGTAGCTCTAATTACACACATGTATATTTATTATTTGAATTTAATTCTCATTAATTATGTTATATCATAAGAAAGTTATAAGGGTATCAAGAGTTAGAAGGGTAGATCACTTCTAATTCACAAAAGAACAACAAAATTCTTGACCTCCTTTCCTGTTTCACCATCCTACGTAATAAAAAACATTCACAAGGTTTGTACATCGTCAAACTAAAATGATATAACAAACCAATCAGATTTATCAACAAGGACGGAGTGACCCTTTCTCTTTCTCACACCATTTGTGTGTGAAATGTGAATGGTAGATACGACCAAAACAAGCCTTTTTGTCTAAATTAGTTGTGGGTAGGCTAAAATGATATTAAAACAAATCAACCCATAAGCAAGCATACAAAAGTCACCACCGTAAGAGTTCTATGAAATGAACAGCATCCTACCGAAGGGTTGTTGGCCTAGCGGCTATGCTGTTAATTGCTGCGATATCGCGGATAGCAAGACATTAGCAAAATACCGGTGGTCAGATTGCGGTTTAAATTGCGGTAGCGCAATTATCGGCGCAGTTTACCGCAATTTTGACCGATATTTAGGGTCAACTGCGTTCGACATTAATGTTACTTTTTGGGGGGTTTGGGCTTTATTTTCAGTCTCTGTTTTTAGATAGTTGGGCTTTATTTCCAGTCTTTCTTTTTTTGGGCTTTATTTTTCTTAAGTTTAATCCATTAACATAAGTTGGAAGAACTAGGTTTCTCTATCGACAACCTGTTTTAGTCTTTAGACTATCTGTTCTTCTGGGCTCTGTTTGGCGATCTCATCTGCTTTAGATGACCACGACCCACGAGTCTCGGGCTCTCAGCTTCTTGTTTCCAGCTTCTGTTCCAGACTTCCAGCTTCTAGCTTCTGTTTCCATCTTCTATTTCCAGCTTCTGTCTCCAGGTACCACGAGTCTGGAGTCTAAATTCCTAATCTTGGTTGATAAGAAAATCGAAGCAGATTGGTCAATTAAACCCCCTCTGCTCCAACTTCTGCTCCCTCTGTTTTTCTGCTCCAGTCTCCAACTTCTGAAAACTTTTAATTATTCTTGTTTTGACTTTTAATTATTCTGCAAGAGTTTGTGGATGCAAGAGATGGCCTTCTATGGTCAGAAGTATGAGAAGCAATGGGAGGTAATGAACAAGTTGGGCAAAGTACAAGAAGTAAAAGGGAGCTCCATAGGAATGATGATGATGATGATCACGTTGAAGATGAAGGGGGAGAAGGGGAAGAGTGGGAAACTACCTAATGAAGAAGTGAACGTATTAGATGATGTTGACTCAGATGCTGAACCTATTGCTTGCGATTAGCTCGTTTATGAACACTTTTCCTATTTTGCAAATGATATGTTTAAGTAGGCATATTATATATATAATTCTAAGAAATATTATATGAACCGCTATTTTTGAACCGCTATACCACCGCTATAAGCCTATAACCGCTATTTCAAATATTGGCCCTGACCGCAATTCTGTATTTTCACCGCTATAAGTTCATAATAGCATAGCCTAGCGGTATCTAGTTACCTATAATCCTAGCCTCCCTGGAGGTCGAGGGTTGAAACCTCACCCAAGGTGAGTGTGCGTGAGTATTGCCGTATATAAACATTATATACTTCAAAATGTATAGCATCTTTCGACGCACTCCTATCTAAGGATAACTCCTCCGACCACTTCGTTATTTTTCACTACATAAGGACAAATCTCTCTTGGTACAAGTCTCTTCTTCTCACAAGCCAGGAGTCTTCACGGAAACAACTGCTCTACTCCTTGAGGGTAGGGGTCAGGTAATCTCAACCCCCCCCCCCAAAAAAAAAGACCCAACCTTCGGGCGGGATGGTTTGGTTTATTCTATGGCTACAGATTATCTCACCACTAGCATTTCTACTAAACACACCTTGTGTACGTGTGGTCTTTTGGTGGCCAAACATTCAGCCCCTCAAATTATAGACATGTTAATCACACAAGAATCTTGAAGCATGCCATGATTTCCATTCACCTTGTTATCACACTTGCCACTAGGGTTCCGCTTAGCATCCCACATACTACAAAACTGGAATAACTGAATATGACCTTAAAATTAAGGCAAGTGGCATCTCATCTTTTCGAGGGGAATGGAGTATAAGATGATTTGATTGTTAAGGTCCACAAGATATCAAAACATAAGTGGTTAAGCAAAAGAGGTAGCACTTGCCAAAGAAAAACCATATTGACACAAATTTTTATTATTTTTCTATCTAATTGTATTCAGATATAATGATATTCTTCGAGTACCTTGATATCTTCAGCCATTCTCTCACTTGTAGTTAGTTGGACACCACGTTTTAGCGCAACCTTTGCAATCGAACTCCTTTCCCACAACTTAACTATTGCCGCCGCCAAACCTTGATGTTGTCTGCTTCTACCTATTCATACAAATAATCAAATATTTAAAAAGAACTCTTGGATACAATTCGTATCATAACATTTTCTTCAATTCTCCATTCGTAGGTCCCATCCTCATTTCTCTTCAAAATGGTAAATGGTATCAACGAATAGAACTTTAAAGGACAAAATGCATCAATCAATGTAACAAAGTTTCAAACTTTTCCTATTTCTTTACCACTAATGTTGTAACATTTGATGACGTGGATGACAAATTTATAGTCCATTCCACTATCGTAAACGAGTATCCACGTCATCAAATGTTACTAGATGAGCATGTTAGCGGTCAAAATGGGCATAAAACAAGAAATTTTGAAACTCAGTTACATCGATTGGAAAAAAAAATTCATCGTTACACTAAACCAAACTTTGTTGCATTTTTCCCATCTTTAAAATCTTAAGCATATAAGTTGTGTGGAGAAATGACACACCCAAAGCGAAATGTGGAGGGAGAAATCTTGCTAGCCTTCGTAAATTAGTAGCCTCCCTTCCTATAAGTGTAGCTTTCACCCCATATGGAAGTATTCTGAAAGGTGGTTGGTATCCATGGACTGTTCCTGGGAGTAAATCTGCATCCACGGGTAGGGGATCACATCCTGGCCAATCCGTGTATCTCGGCCCCAACCCCTCTAAGAGTTTGTCCACTTCTTTTTCATAGTCCAATTCTGCTGTTGATTCGGTACCTTCGTTGTCCTCATGGCCTTGTAAACCGTCCATTGAACCAGTTGTAGAATCAGGATCAGAAAAAGATGATCTTTCGGATATTTCCTTGTTATATTCACGCTTCTTTTGTCTTATAGATCGATCTATGTATCCTACGCCTCTATAGAGAGCAACCGTGCTTCCAGATCTCCAAATCACCAACCCGCCAGTTCTCCTCTAAATAGTGCAGAGTTATATCAGCAGAAGCATTATATTAACAACTAGAATACAAGTAGCTTAATAAACGTCATAAAACTATTGAGTCGAATAATTGAATCGGTAAGAGAGGATGTTATTGATGGCAAAAAAAGGTTAATGGGTCTATGAGGAAAAACCTGAACATGAAGTTTCACTTTGAAACCAATTTCAACAATGGATGCTAATGACAAATAAATTAGAACAAACAGGTTGTAACTTCGGAGTATCTTGTAAGCAATCGAGGGAAAACCCCAAAAAAAAATGAAAAAAAATTGAGGAACACCCTAATAACCGTTCATCTATAAGGTATGCACATGTGCATACATGTAATTGAAGATGTTTCATGGTTTCTATGCACGTGTGCATGTTCGTACCAAAAAATTACACTTGTATGCACATGTGCATACCGTACAGATGAATGGTCACTAGGGTGTTCCTCAATTTTTTTTTTTGCGGTTTTATATACACACACACATACAAAAGCATCCCATATCCTTAATTTTCTAGAATTGGACATACAACTATCCTTGTATCATTGATACATATTCCTACATTCTTCAACAAAAAGGTTGCTTTATTAAGTTGCATGGAAAAACATAGCAACAAGGATTGCAAGAAACTCACCTCTAATATCTCATGCATCCGTCTCATATTAAGTGCACCCGATCCTTCAATTTTCAGCTTCACAACTTCTGCTGATTTCCACTTATCCTTGATCAAAGCCACCATTTCTCGAGTAACACCAGCACCCGTGATCCTAGTCTTGTTCTTCAGCCGATAAGCTAAATTCCTCAACCTCCTTAACTCAGCCTCTGGAAGTGTCAATTCAGCCACACAAGTCTTACTTTTTTGCCTCACTGAATTCCTATTCTCTTCATCCTCAGGTGATGGCTTCTCCCATGGAAATCTCACTTTCCCATTACTACCCCTAAACACATCTTCAACACCAAGAGGTGATTCAGGCGAAAACCCACCTCTTGCATTCGGCAAAACCCCTTCCTCAATTTGAAATATATCCTCAATTGATCCCTTCTCAATTTCAATCTTTTTCTTCTCCTTAACATCATCAACATACCCAAATTTCTTCAATTTCTCCACAATTCTTTCCATCGTACTACCACTGCTACTAGCGTGTACACCATCACTATCACTATCATAACTATTTCCATAATCGGAATTCTCGTGGTCATCCCTATATCGATAATTAAACACTGTTTCAGCCTGTTTAGGCCAATTTTGCTTGTGGGTGTCATCCCATTTCTCCAACCAACCACCACTATCAGGTTTGGACTGTGAAATCGGTGATTTAGCAATCGAACCCACTTCATTCTTGTTGTTTCTAAGAACAATTTTGGACTTCTTTGGGGGGGTTCGGTTTAAATTGGCTGAATTACTCTCGTAAGATGCAATGACTTTGTGTTTGTTGAAAGGATTATAAGAGGAGTACCTGAGGGAATGGAGGCGAGTGGAGACATGGAGCTTGTACACTGAGCTGTGAAACGAGTCTAAACGAGTGGGCACCAAAGCCATGTTTTCGTGAAAGCCAACCCCAAGATATCTACTTCAATAAAACGACCTAATTGAAAGAAACAAAAATATCAAGGGAAAATTTTACTTTACCCCCCTAACTATATTTGTAATGTCATTCTTAGTCCTTTAGTTTTATTTTTTGCTAATTCAGGTTCAAGACCTGTTTGAACTTTGAAGAGGTAATTTACATTTTTATGCCTAAACTATATGTCAGTATAAGATATAGTCCTTCGACTTTTATATTCTCTTAATTCTCCTTTTAAAACTTTCTTAAAGAAGCACCATCGATATCATTTGATAATCAATCTGGTTTGTTAAGTTTGTGACGTGTGGTGCAAATGATGCTTTTATAGGAGGATGTGTTTTTTTTACCGGGAAAAGTTCAAAAAAACGTAATAAATTTTCTCATTTTTAATGATTTAGTTCTTAAATTATCTTTGTGAATGAAAAAACTGTTAAACTTTCTTATTTTGGATGATTAAATCCATGAATTATTTTTTTGATTCAAAAAACCATTAAATTTTCACATTTTGAATGATTAAGACCTTGATTTATAAAAAACAAAATAAATAAATCATCGAGCTTTTGCTAGTTGGTTAATATATTTTGTTGGGTTAAAAGATTGTAAGTAACGGATTTTTAAAAATGTGATGCTTTATTTATTAAAAAAAAATATCCAGGTACTTAATCAATCAAAATGAAAAAGTTTAATGGTTTTTTTACTTAAAAGAAGAAAATTTAATGGTCTTTTCGTTTAAAAAAATATTTAAAACCTTAATCATTCAATATGAGAAAGTTAAATGATTTTCCCATTCAAAAAAAAATTGTTTAGGGACGAAACCATTCAAAATGGAAAAGTTTATTGAGTTTTTTTAAACTTTCTTCTTTTTTATTTGATTAACAGGCGAATACATCAAAGTCTTTAGAAGGTTGATTGATACCATAGAATCAAATACCCGTTGGTTATAATAGTTGTAAAATAACATATTGCAGCAAAAGAAAGTTAATTGATCAGCAAAATCTAACATGTTATGGCAATAGACTTTTTTTTTCAAGTATATAATATTTATACATGGAAAATTAAACTCACGTACACTCCTCACCCTTGGCATTCAGGAAGGTTGATCTCTATCGGTTGCTCGGATACCATTGGACTAATGTCCCTTTGGTGTGATAAACCATGTTAGTAACAACAAAAAATGGTGCGTAATCGGTGAAAAATGACAATGATTGAGACAAGAGACGGTGAATGAGTGGTGATGAAAATAAGGTTGTTGAGTAAGATTTTGTAATTTGATGTGTGCGTATGTGTGTTAGGGGTGAGCACGGGTCGGATCGGACCATAAAAGAGGAAACCCGATCGGGTATCGGATTAAAATATTGTACCCCGAATTATGGTATTCGGGTTCTGTTTTGTGCAAAAGGGTCAAAACCCATCTATGGTTCACTGAAAGAATCAATTGGTCATACTGAAATTGAAGTTGCTGCAGGTGCCTTATTGGGTTTACTTGGGAGCTTAGCAGTTTACTCTTTATGACATTTGTAATCTCTCTTGGATTCTTTATTATATGTACTTTCACGAGTCAAAAGACCTTGTGGCCATAGCTACTGATATAGATTATACATACAAAAACCGACAGGAGAAGAGAGACATAACTTGAAACAGTCATTATTATTACCTCGTCAATTTCAGTTTCCGAGAAAGGCACTAAGGCAGTCAGGGCTTCAGGCAGGGAGTCAAGAGACCGGAGACGGAGAGAGTCGAGATCGAGAGACGCAGAGACTAAGAGAGGTAGAGTCGCATCCAAAGAGAAGGGTCGATCGAAAGAGGTGTCAGTCGAACTGTGACGAGTGGATGAAAAATTGAAAATCCCTAGAGTAGAAAATAAGCCCTTTTGTGTTCTTCGGGTTTCGTGCGGGTTCAGGGGGTGAATCTTAAGATCCTACCTGATCCGCGATACCCGATGTAGTGTTCGGATTCGGACTTCGGTTTATATTCGGGTAATTTTGTTCGGTTCGGGTAATTCGGGTACGGTCGGGTTTTGCACAGCCCTAATGTGTGTGTATGAAAGAGATATGGGATTTAGTAATTTGTTAGACTTAAGCCTTGTTTGTTTTTTTCATTTTTAGCTCTTAACTACCACTTATGTCTGATTCGTTCAGACATTTTGTAGTTCAGACTGTTTGTTTTATTATTATTTTCAGAGCCTCTTATCACTTAATAGGGTCTGAATAAATAAAAGATAAACTAATATCTTAATTTCTCTTATTTCCCTTTTTCTTTGATTCTCTTTGGCTATTGCTTCTTTCTCCACCAAGCACGCCACCGTCCTTTCATCACTCATGTGAAATGGAAGCCCCCACCTTCTCTCTCTAGATCTCTCTCTCTCTATATATATATGTGTGTGTGTGTGTGTGTATATATATATAATTTTTGTATATTTAGGTTAGCTTTTAGAAGAGTAATATGAAATAAGAACTTCCATCGGTGATCTATCATCCATCAAAAGTATCGATCTTTCCACAAACAAATTCATCAGCATCAATCCCGATAGCATCAGAAGTCTGAAAGGTATCCAAAAGATTCTTATTGTGTTCTATCTGTTAAGCAATTGCTGAGATGAATTTCGCCAATGAGAATTTTATGAAAATCAAGAGAATTTTGCAAAAATTTTGGACCTGGTTTTACAAAAACAAACTATTGGTTCGGACTTCAGACGTTTGTCAGTTTACAAAAACAAACAGTCTTATTATTTCAAATTTCAAACTTCAGCACCAACTCTTATTAATCAAAAGTGAAATACGACTTTAGACTTCATCACTTCTTAAAAACAAACGCCACCTTAAAATCCTTAAGCTCTCTGAACCAAATACCCTTTATACATTTGACATGTATAAATAGATTTTTTTTAACCTATCTATGCATGATAATAGCATATTGTATGAGAATTCACTAGTTCTTATATAATCTCGTTAAATGTTGTAAAGTTAAAAAAAAGTCGAACCTGTGCAGTTTCAAGTGTAAAATATGGTCTCATGGGTCTCATGAAAATAGGCTGGTTTCACGTGATCCCAAGTCTCTCTCTCTCTCTCTCTCTCTCTATATATATATATATATATATGTGTGTGTGTGTGTGTATGTGTGTATGGATCTGTTAGATTACTTAAAATGTCTGATATGGGGAGGCATCTTCTTTTGTTAAACAAGTCAAATTGTTAACTTGGTTAACCTAAATGGGTCAATCATAATTCACCTACTCACTTAGTTTTATCACACGCTTGCTACATATTGTGAGGGAATTTTGGTATTTTTTATTTTTATTAAAAAATCTGGTTAAATGAAGAGAGAAAACCGTGTGATAGTTAGTTGCCTTAATTATCTCACAGATAATTATGAATGGGTTTTAAATTTTATTGGTTTTAGATAGTTCATTTTTCTTCCAGAAGTTGTTCATGGCATTTATCATCGGAGTTGAAGGTGTGATAACAAGGTCGACGCTTGATAAGTAAGGCTGCCAGAAAAAGGAGATGTCAACAGAGTTGGTTGAAGCCTGCAAGTGAGAAAGAGGGATGTTGAAGGTTGTCGGTAAGAATCAGACGAGGGGTTGAATTGTAGAATGTTGAAGGTGAGGATGAGGGGATACTAAAAAGTTCGAGAAAGAAGGRGAGATGGTCGTGAGGGTGTTGTGATGGAGGTGAGAGGCGGGATAATTGGTAGCGGCTTCTGGCGGTTACAAGACAGTAGTTGACGGTGAGGGAGGCGATGACCAGAGATGGTTATGGTTGACAGCGAGGGAGATAATGATGGGTTAATTAGCTTTTATGTTGGTTTCATAAGTGAACATATTCACTTATGGTTTTCATAACTACAGCAGTGACAGTAGTTCATCATTGTTCTCCAAATATTGTACTTAAGTGAACATTGTTGATAATAATATTGTTCATATGTGAACATGGTTGCTCAAATCAGTATTCTTACGTGAATATTGTTCATATATGATCATTGGTCATACATGAGCATTGTTCATACGTGAACATTGGTCATACATGAGCATTGTTCATACACAGTGATGAACGCGATGGTTATCGATGATGATGATGATGGGTTCAAAGATTTCAAGATTACATGAAATTCGAAGTCGATATGTTGTTACTGTGAAATCAAGGAACAAATCTCATTTCCTAATTTCACTCCCAAAATGTTTTTACTATTATACCTGTTCACTTATGAAATCATTTCGGAGGCACATGTTGACTCTCAAAATGTAATTATAAAACATTAATTTCTTATTAATTGTTGATTAATTTTTTGGATAGCTGAGATTGGTTAACAAAGTTAATAATAATTCGCAAAGGTATGTTTTTTAGCATATTCAATTTTTGATAGCATATTTTCTTAAAGTCCCATTTGGTTTGCAGGAATGGAAGGGATTTGAGATTTGGATTTCAAACTCATTCCAATGCCATGTTTGGTTAGTTGGATTGTCCAGATTTGAAATCGTAGGATTTACAAACATAGAATTTTGAAATCCTTAGGTTTTTAAATCCGACCAATCCAACAAACCAAACATAAAATTGGAATGAATTTGAAATCTAAATACCCCAAATCCATTCCATTTTTGCAAACCAAACGCGACCTTAGGATTTAATTTTTATAACTTTGATGTGAATGCTTGGATTTTAAGAAATAGTTTGATATGTTGGAATTTTTTTCTTTGTTTTTGGTGTTTAAGGGATCATTTTGTAACGTCTTCTGCTAAAGTTAACTTCCTATCATAACTTTTATGTGACGTTTGGTTTGACGGAATATTTTTGAGAAATTAAGGCTTTTTATGAAAAGGTTTGGGTATTAGAAGAATTTGAAATCTTTGGTGTATTTGGTCAGTAAGATTTGATTGATTTGTAATAGAATTGAATTCCATTCTTTATAGATAACTTATAAAAAATAATAATTAAATTACCTTTTATTAAATTGATTATTACAAAATAAATGTTTTTAA